TTCAATAACATATTTTATAGTGATTGGTGATATATTAGTGTCACTAATGAGATATATACTCCGATACACACCTGTTGACCACACGTGTCGCTAAGGCTAAACTGAAACTGTGATCTATTGAATGTTTCGGTCATTGACTCGGTCAGCGGATTTATCTGCATAGATACTGACCTGTGTGTTGGTCACTTTAGTCAAACTGTGATTATTCACCTTAGTGTTTCTATTTCTAGTAATAAGAAGGCCCGTTCCCTAAGGCAACAGAAGAACCAACAGGAAGGATTTGTTGCAGGTAAATCTTTGTCTCTTGTTCCTTAAAGCATAAAACCTAATTTACTGTTGCAGGTAAATCTTTGTCACTTGTTCCTTAAAGCATAAAACCTAATTTACTGTTGTAGGTAAATCTTTGTCACTTGTTCCTTAAAGCATAAAACCTAATTTACTGTTGCACCTGACAGATGCTAGTAGTAGTAGTATTCCCTGTAGTATTGTGTGTAACTTCAGTCAGGTCCTGCTGCAAGGTCGGCTGGTGTGTAACTGTTCAGTCAGGTCCTGCTGCAGGGTCGGCTGGTGTGTAACTGTTCAGTGAGGTCCTGCTGCAAGGTCGGCTGGTGTGTAACTGTTCAGTCAGGTCCTGCTGCAGGGTCGGCTGGTGTGTAACTGTTCAGTCAGGTCCTGCTGCAAGGTCGGCTGGTGTGTAACTGTTCAGTCAGGTCCTGCTGCAGGGTCGGCTGGTGTGTAACTGTTCAGTCAGGTCCTGCTGCAGGGTCGGCTGGTGTGTAACTGTTCAGTCAGGTCCTGCTGCAGGGTCGGCTGGTGTGTAACTGTTCAGTCAGGTCCTGCTGCAGGGTCGGCTTGTGTGTGTGTAACTGTTCAGTCAGGTCCTGCTGCTGGGTCAGCTGGTGTGTAACTGTTCAGTCAGATCCTGCTGCAGGGTCGGCTTGTGTGTGTGTAACTGTTCAGTCAGGTCCTGCTGCTGGGTCAGCTCGTGTGTAACTGTTCAGTCAGGTCCTGCTGCTGGGTCAGCTGGTGTGTAACTGTTCAGTCAGGTCCTGCTGCTGGGTCAGCTGGTGTGTAACTGTTCAGTCAGGTCCTGCTGCTGGGTCATCTGGTGTGTAACTGTTCAGTGAGGTCCTGCTGCTGGGTCAGCTGGTGTGTAACTGTTCAGTGAGGTCCTGCTGCTGGGTCAGCTGGTGTGTAACTGTTCAGTCAGATCCTGCTGCAGGGTCGGCTTGTGTGTGTGTAACTGTTCAGTCAGGTCCTGCTGCTGGGTCAGCTGGTGTGTAACTGTTCAGTGTGGTTCTGCTGCAGGGATGAGCTAGTGCGACAGAAATTTCCTTTTTCACTTCAGCATCATCATTTTGAGACTTGCTAGATGACATCAGTGGTTTGGATGATATTCCTTCATGCCACCATCTTATACCACCAGATGTCACGATGTTCCGCAATATTTCTCCTCACATGACCAGATGTCACCATGTTCCCCAATATTTCTCCTCACATGACCAGATGTCACAGTGTTCCCCAATATTTCTCCTCACACGACCAGATGTCACCATGTTCACCAATATTTCTCCTCACACAACCAGATGTCACAGTGTTCCCCAATATTTCTCCTCACATGACCAGATGTCACAATGTTCCCCAATATTTCTCCTCACACGACCAGATGTCACCATGTTCCCCAATATTTCTCCTCACACGACCAGATGTCACAATGTTCCCCAATATTTCTCCTCACATGACCAGATGTCACAATGTTCCCCAATATTTCTCCTCACATGACCAGATGTCACAATGTTCCCCAATATTTCTCCTCACATGACCAGATGTCACAATGTTCCCCAATATTTCTCCTCACATGACCAGATGTCACAATGTTCCCCAATATTTCTCCTGACATGACCAGATGTCACAATGTTCCCCAATATTTCTCCTGACATGACCAGATGTCACAATGTTCCCCAATATTTCTCCTGACATGACCAGATGTCACAATGTTCCCCAATATTTCTCCTGACATGACCAGATGTCACCATGTTCCCCAATATTTCTCCTGACATGACCAGATGTCACCATGTTCCCCAATATTTCTCCTGACATGACCAGATGTCACAATGTTCCCCAATATTTCTCCTCACACGACCAGATGTCACCATGTTCCCCAATATTTCTCGTGACATGACTAGATGTCACAATGTTCCCCAATATTTCTCCTCACATGACCAGATGTTAGTGTTCCCCCAATATTTCTCCTCACGCGACCAGATGTCACAATGTTCCCCAATATTTCTCATGACATGACCAGATGTCACAATGTTCCCCAATATTTATCCTCACACGACCAGATGTCACAATGTTCCCCAATATTTCTCCTGACATGACCAGATGTCACCATGTTCCCAAATATTTCTCCTCACAAGACCAGATGTCACAATGTTCCCCAATATTTCTCCTCATGCGACCAAATAACGGTCTCCTTCTCTGTCATATTTACTTATTATGTTCTGCATTCATTGCACAGTGACACCTCTGTAAAGTATAAGTCTCTTTTCAATGATCACACAATGAGAATCTTAGCGCAGTGCACAGAATCTCAGATCATTGGAGATAAAAAAAAAATTATGTACCAGAATCTCAGATCATTGGAGATCAAAAAGTTTATGTACAAGAATTTCACAGTAACACACACACACATACATCTCCATAAGTGTCCCCGCTCTTTCCCCCCCCCCCCCCCCCTCCCCCCCCATGGTTAATTACAGTTTGCTGAAATTTGATAAAGGTTAAAGTTGAGAGGTTTGATCCCATATGGCACCACCTAAAAGCTGCTGAGAATGTCGCACAGTGCACGAACACCATAGCTCCTGTGACATGTCATAAAAAGTGCTCAGGTTTTGGGATATCGGATGTGTTGGACAAAAAGGCAGAGATATCACATCCTAGCTGTAAACCACATCATGTACCAGCATCTTTGTTTAAGTAGTGAACTAAGAAGAAGAATAAGTTTGTTATCCCCATTGACTTGCTGGTAGGAGCTCTAACCTTGTTGCTGCCACTTGTGTTTTCATTGTCTTCCATTGGCTGGCTCTGTATCCAAATACGTGTGGGTGTTTGCTTATACTAGAAGTTGATCAGGCTTAATTCTCTTCATGTGAGGAAACTCTATTTGTGACCTTTGCAAGAAATCAATAGCTGATATCTCCTTTATCTTTTTTTTATGATTTGGTTCTGTTCTATCTTTTTTGGAAACCTCAGCAACCTGTAACCGGGTTTGACCCTGAGCCAGTCTGTCTGTCGTCTAGATCACTAACCACATTATCTACTAACCATTTAATTTGTCAGGGTATCACATGAGTTGGGGAAGCAATCATTAAAAATTATTTTATTTTCAGCAGCTGTTGCAGATTAATCAACTTCCTGGGAAATGCCAACATACATGTGAATCAGGCTTTAGTGAAGTGCAAATGTGTGATGAATGCACTTCCTTGTTTCGGGGAAAACTACAATGACTGTTCTTTGTTCACCATGTCTGAAATAAGTTTTATTTGTCTGCAGGCTGCTAAGGATTTCAGATGATGTGCTTGTTTGAGTCATGTTTGGTTTATCTGTCATTTGTTAGTATGTTGTTGACACAATGGAGCTGTAGACTGTATAGCACAAGTGTCTTATGAATCGTTGTCATACGTGCTGATCTGTCTGTGAGGTTTTCATACATTTGCTGCTGATATCTATTTTCATTGTTGTACTGCTTCACTACAACCGTAAATAATTTCACTTGGTCAACATTTGTTGGTGTGGGATCGACTAAAATTGTTGAGGTTTCAAAATCAGCATATGCCTAATTAAGCATTATTTATATGCATTTAGGGAGCTGTGACAGTTCAGTTACTAAGACACTTAATTTATTCCGTTAGCAGGGTGTTTTCACCGGATCAGTCCTGTTTTCACCGGATCAGTCTTGTTTTCACCTGAACAGTCCTGTTTTCACCAGATCAGTCTTGTTTTTACCATTTCAGTCTTGTTTTCACCTGAACAGTCCTGTTTTCACTGGATCAATCAAGTTTTTCAGTGTTAAAAACAAACATCTAGGACTAAAATCGACAATAGAGCCTGCACTTATAACCTCTGCAGACCTGATTACATTTAATATTTTTTAGATACTCTAAAAACTGCTGATAGAGAAGTCTGGCAATCTCTCTGACAAACCTCTACACCCCAGGGGAAATAGATACTTCAAATGAGTGAAATTTATTAATAGGATTTTTCATTGCAGCATGTTTATCATTGCAGCATGTTTATCATTGCAGCATGTTTATCAGTGCAGCATGTTTATCATTGCAGCATGTTTATCATTGCAGCATGTTTATCAGTGCAGCATGTTTATCATTGCAGCATGTTTATCATTGCAGCATGTTTATCATTGCAGCATGTTTATCATTGCAGCATGTTTATCATTGCAGCATGTTTATCATTGCAATCAACGAGCATAGTTATTGTTTATTTCTTGGTAACAGTGGATCGAATATTAATACTATTATCCAGCCAGTAATTAACCCTTTCACTCTGGTGACAGAAAATTGAAGTAGGGGGTTAAACTGACTGACTTGAAATGTCCTATTGTCAGCTCAAGATATTCGATGGAACTGAAGATGAGGCCGTATATGAAGTCAGTGATTCCTCATCAGATATAGACAAGCACATGCTAAAAAAAAAACTGTCTTATGAATGTGAGTTTTCTGTATTCTGTGATGAATCAAATGTGAGTTTTCTGTATTCTGTGATGAATCAAATGTGAATTCAATAACTTTATATAGTCATGTTGTTGTTGGTTTTTTTTTCCCCAGTATGTCCAGTCCCACAATCAATGTGCATCTTATACATGCACTGCTCTTATACTTGGGAAATACTGAATGTTCCAGTATAAATTAATAATATGCAATAATGATAGTAACATTGTTGTTAATATTTGCATTTGTTACTGCTTTCAGACATCGGCCAGGATGGACAAGCTAACAGCAAAGTTGATCACTCTAGCTGTCCTGATCGTGCTGACTGTCATATTTAGTGTGATTCCTTACTTTCTGGTGCTGCGGGGTTCAAGGTCACTTGTGCCTAACAGAAGACGAGACAAGGTCATAGCTGCACTCAATTGTTTCGGAGGAGGTGTCTTTTTGGGAACTCTTCTGCTACATCTGATGATTGAGGGCAGTGCTGAATTTGATGCTTACAAGTCTAAAGCTGGGTGGAAAACTGAATTTCCACTTTTCAACATATTTGTGGCTGGTGGTTTTTTTGCAGTGGCTTTCATTGAGTACTTCATGCATTCACGTCTGCATAATAGGAAATCTGGCAAGGTCAACTGCTCACCTTCAGCAGAACAATCTCAGGAGCCAGGCGGTGTGTCTGAGGGACAGTACGGAGCTGTTGGTGGCCAGGGAAAGCCACTTGAGTCTAGAGCACGGTGTCCTACTCTCAACCAGAAAGCAGATAATGCAGAGTTCGGCCACCATGAATCTGACAGTTTGTTGCCTGGAAGGCACCATCACAATCACTACGAATCTGCAGCCGTGAAGGCAGATTGTGTTGCAGCAGATGGTAACTCAAGGTCAAAGGTTACCGACACAAACTCTCAGGGGAAGCATGGACACCAGAATTGTGACATCGAGGTCATACACTCCGATCCTGTCACAATAGGTTCCGAGTCTGTGACGGGAATTTCAGAAATCATTGCCGAGATCCCGGATGGACTACGAGCTTTCTTGCTTCTGTTTGCTTTGTCATTCCACACGATTTTTGATGGTCTGGCAGTGGGTCTTCAGGACAGCATCTCAGCAATCTGGCAAGTGTTTACAGCAATTGCCATCCATAAAAGCATCATTGCCTTCTGCCTGGGCTTGGAGCTCTTCAAATGTCACCCTGACCAGCCCTGGAGAGCTTTTTCCTGGATCTGCTTCTTTTCCCTCATGTCGCCAATTGGCATTGGTTTAGGAATTGGCTTAACTTCAGGTGGCATTGATGACCTAGCCAGACTTCTGTCCTCTAGTATCTTGCAGGGTTTGGCAGCCGGCACGTTTCTTTACGTCACATTTCTAGAAATCCTTAGTTTGTATATTGGTCACAATTGTCACAGACATTTTTTGCATGTCTTCTTTGCCCTGGTTGGATTTGCCTTTATGGCTTGTGTGAAAACTATGGATAATAATGATTAATTGTTCTGTCATTGTTTTAGTATCTCTTTAAAATAAAATTTTTAAATGTCTATACTCATTGAGTATGCATACAAAGACATCCATTTCAGTGACACATTTATTACAGTGACAACATATAAGACAATCTTGAATCATTATTATGTCAGTTGTCTGGCTGTGAGAGAAATATAATGATTTGATAAGTTTTTTTTTTTTTTTTAACTTGTATTAAGAGATGAACAGACAACAGTGTGTACAATTGGGGTTGGCAAGAGATGAATAGACAACAGTGTGTACAATTGGGGTTGACAAGAGATGAATAGACAACAGTGTGTACAATTGGGGTTGGCAAGAGATGGACAACAGTGTGTAAAACTAAGGGAGAGTGGGGGGGAGGTGAACCATCTTTGTTTTTATTGTGTACATACAGGAGATATTTCTGTTTGAAGCAACTACTTCATATTTAATGTTAATAGTATTATCTGTATAATTATGTACTTAATTGTTCTAATATTTTGTATATACATGTTGGTTGAGATAGCTGCTGGTGAAGTATTTGTAAATGCTTGTGGTTCATGCATGTTGTCAGGTGGTTCATGTGTTTTGTCAGGTGATTCATGCGTGTTGTCAGGTGGTTCATTTGTGTTGTCAGGTGGTTCATGAATGTTGTCAGGTGGTTCATGAATGTTGTCAGGTGGTTCATGCGTGTTGTCAGGTGGTTCATGCGTGTTGTCAGGTGGTTCATGAATGTTGTCAGGTGGTTCATGAATGTTGTCAGGTGGTTCATGAATGTTGTCAGGTGGTTCATGAATGTTGTCAGGTGGTTCATGCATGTTGTCAGGTGGTTCATGCGTGTTGTCAGGGGGTTCATGCGTGTTGTCAGGTGGTTCATGCGGGTTGTCAGGTGGTTGTACTGGCCATCTCTTCACTCAAAGTCAAAGTATAGAAATATGAAAACAAAACTAAAGAATAACATTTTCATGATAAGAATGAATAGTTATAACATAATTTCTGTGTCTGTCTGTCTGTCTCTCCCTCTGTCTCTGAAAACAATGTTAAGGCAAGGCAGACTGGGCCCATGGCCATCTTTGGCAGGTGTTCTGTGAGCTCCAACAGGTAGACAGACGTCTTGACTTTTCTTATCTGTGATCTGATGTGTGTATTATGAGTGTATGTGTAAAAATGTTTATAAGTGTGATTGTCTATGTATGAGTGTGTTTGTGTACAAATGTTTATAAGTGTGATTGTCTATGTATGAGTGTGTTTGTGTAAAAATGTTTATAAGTGTGATTGTCTATGTATGAGTGTGTTTGTGTAAAAATGTTTATAAGTGTGATTGTCTATGTATGAGTGTGTTTGTGTAAAAATGTTTATAAGTGTGATTGTCTATGTATGAGTGTGTTTTTTGTGTAAAAATGTTTATAAGTGTGATTGTCTATGTATGAGTGTGTTTGTGTAAAAATGTTTATAAGTGTGATTGTCTATGTATGAGTGTGTTTGTGTAAAAATGTTTATAAGTGTGATTGTCTATGTATGAGTGTGTTTGTGTACAAATGTTTATAAGTGTGATTGTCTATGTATGAGTGTGTTTGTGTACAAATGTTTATAAGTGTGATTGTCTATGTATGAGTGTGTATGTGTAAAAATGTTTATAAGTGTGATTGTCTATGTATGAGTGTGTTTGTGTAAAAATGTTTATAAGTGTGATTGTCTATGTATGAGTGTGTTTGTGTAAAAATGTTTATAAGTGTGTATGAGTGTGTTTGTGTAAAAATGTTTATAAGTGTGATTGTCTATGTATGAGTGTGTTTGTGTAAAAATGTTTATAAGTGTGATTGTCTATGTATGAGTGTGTTTGTGTAAAAATGTTTATAAGTGTGATTGTCTATGTATGAGTGTGTTTGTGTAAAAATGTTTATAAGTGTGATTGTGTATGATTGGTTTGTGTATGAGTGTGTTGTGTTTGTATTGTTGTTTTATAAATGTGTTGTGTTGTTTATGGGTGAGTGTGTTTTGTGTAAAAATTGTTTATAAGTGTGATTGTCTATGTATGAGTGTGTTTGTGTTTTGTTTTATAAGTGTGATTGTCTATGTATGAGTGTGTTTGTGTAAAAATGTTTATAAGTTGTGATTGTCTATGTATGAGTGTGTTTGTGTGAAAATGTTTTATAAGTGTGATTGTTTTATGTATGAGTGTGTTTGTGTAAAAATGTTTATAAGTGTGATTGTCTATGTATGAGTGTGTTTGTGTAAAAATTTTATAAGTGTGATTGTCTATGTATGAGTGTGTTTGTGTGAAAAATGTTTATAATTGTGTTGAGTGTTGTTTTGTTGTTGTATGTGGTGTGTTGTTTGTGTAAAAATGTTTATAAGTGTGATTGTCTATGTATGAGTGTGTTGTGTGTTTTTTTGTTTTTAAGTGTGTGATTGTCTATGTATGAGTGTGTTTTGTGTAAAAATGTTTATAAGTGTGATTGTTTTATGTATGTGTTGTGTGTTTGTTGTAAAAATGTTTATTAAGTGTGATTGTCTATGTATGATGTGTGTTTGTGTAAAAATGTTTATAAGTGTGATTGTCTATGTATGAGTGTTTTTGTGTAAAAATGTTTATAAGTGTGATTGTCTATGTATGAGTGTGTTTGTGTAAAAATGTTTATAAGTGTGTTTTGTCTATGTATGAGTGTGTTTGTGTGTAAAATGTTTATAAGTGTGATTGTCTATGTATGAGTGTGTTTGTGTAAAAATGTTTATAAGTGTGATTGTCTATGTATGAGTGTGTTTGTGTAAAAATGTTTATTTTTGTGGTGATTGTTTATGTATGAGTGTGTTTGTGTAAAAATGTTTGTTATGTGTGATTGTCTATGTATGAGTGTGTTTGTGTAAAAATTTTTATAAGTGTGATTGTCTATGTATGAGTGTGTTTGTGTGTACAAATGTTTATAAGTGTGATTGTCTATGTATGAGTGTGTTTGTGTACAAATGTTTATAGTTTTGTGATTGTCTATGTATGAGTGTGTTTGTGTAAAAAATGTTTATAAGTGTGATTGTCTATGTATGAGTGTGTTTGTGTAAAAATGTTTATAAGTGTGATTGTCTATGTATGAGTGTGTTTGTGGTTTTTGTTTATTAGTGTGTGATTGTCTATGTATGAGTGTGTTTGTGTAAAAATGTTTATAAGTGTTGATTGTCTATTTTATGAGTGTGTTTGTGTAAAAATGTTTATAAGTGTGATTGTCTTTGTATGAGTGTGTTTTGTAAAAATGTTTGTTAAGTGTGATTGTCTATGTGTTTTTTTGTTGTTTGTGTGTTTGTGTAAAAATGTTTATAAGTGTGATTGTTTGTTAGTGTATGAGTGTGTTTGTGTACAAATGTTTTTAAGTGTGATTGTCTATGTATGAGTGTGTTTGTGTAAAAATGTTTATGGTGTGTTTGTGTGTTATGTATGAGTGTGTTTTTTTGGTTGTTTGTGTTTATAAGTGTGTTTTGTGTATGTATGAGTGTGTTTGTGTAAAAAATGTTTATAAGTGTGATTGTCTTTGTATGGTTGTTTTTGTTTGTGTATTTGTGTGATTGTCTTGTATTTTTGTGTTTGTGTTTGTTTATGTGTGATTTGTGTTTGTGATGTTGTTTGTGTAAAAATGTTTATAAGTGTGATTGTCTATGTATGAGTGTGTTTGTGTAAAAATGTTTATAAGTGTGATTGTCTTTTTATGAGTGTTTTTTGTGTGTTTTGTTTTATAAGTGTGATTGTCTGTGTATGAGTGTTTGTTTGTGTAAAAATGTTTATAAGTGTTTTTTGTTATGTATGAGTGTGTTTGTGTAAAAATGTTTTTTTTGTTTTGTTTGTATGAGGTGTGTTTGTTTAAAAATGTTTATAAGTGTTTTTTGTTATTGTTGTGTGTGTTTGTGTAAAAATGTTTATAAGTGTGTTTTGTCTATTTTTTGAGTGTGTTTGTGTAAAAAATGTTTATAAGTGTGATTGTCTATGTATGAGTGTGTTTGTGTAAAAAATGTTTATAAGTGTGATTGTGTTATGTATGATGTGTGTTTGTGTTTTTGTTTTTTTTAAGTGTGATTGTCTATGTATGTTTGTGTTTGTGTTTTTTTTTGTTTATTTGTGTTTTTGTTATTTTTGAGTGTGTGTTGTGTTAAAAATGTTTGTAAGTGTGTGTTATTTGTGTTGTTTTTGTAAAATTGTTTGTGTGTGTTTGTGTGTTGTGTTTGTGTTTTTGTTTTATTTTGTGATTGTGTTTATGTTATGAGTTGTTTTTTTGTGTCTTGTGGGTTTTTGTGTTGTTTTTGTGTATTTTTTGGGTGTGTTTGTGTGTAAAATTTTTATAAGTGTGATTGTTGTATGTATTTGTGTGTTTGTTGTTAAAATTGTTGTTTATTTTGTGTGATTGTTCTATGTATGAGTGTGTTTGTGTGTTTTTTTGTTTATAAGTGTGTTTTGTATGTGTATGAGTGTGGTTTGTGTAAAAATGTTTATAAGTGTTTTTGTATTTTGTATGTGTGTTTTTTTGTGTAAAAATGTTGTTTGTGTGTGTTTGTCTATGTATGTGTGTTTTTTTGTGTAAAATTGTTTTTTTGTGTGATTTTCTATGTATGAGTGTGTTTGTGTAACAAATGTTTATTGTGTGTGTGATTGTCTATGTATGAGTGTGTTTGTGTACAAATGTTTATAAGTGTGATTGTCTATGTATGTGTGTGTTTGTGTAATTGTGTGTTTATAAGTGTGATTGTTTATGTATGAGTGTGTTTGTGTAAAAAATGTTTATAAGTGTTTTGTTGTATGTATGAGTGTTGTTTGTGTGAAAAATGTTTATTGTGTGTGTTTTTGTGTATGTATGAGTGTGTTTGTGTGTAAAAATGTTTTATAAGTGTGATTGTCTATGTATTTGTGTGTTTGTGTTTTTATTTTTTATTGTGTGATTGTCTATGTATGAGTGTGTTTGTGTGTTTGTTTGTGTTTATTTATGTGTCTATTGTTTATTGTTTGTGTTGTGTTTGTTGTGTTTTTG